ATTTCACCTCCCTGTCCCATCGCCTTCCTCCCCCTTTTCCAGATGCGTTTTTTACTAGCAGATGCTCAGCACATGCATACCATGCCTAAAGCTCCTACTGAGGGCCGACAACCACACAGGGTCCTTGTGTGGTAAAACAATACAGCCTCTCTCTGTGTTCAGCACTCCTCGCTGCTTCAACTACTTTTAAGAGCCCTCCCTCCCCCCACCACCCCTCCCATCTCTCCCTTCTTCGTGGAAGAACACAAAAAAGAAAAAGAAAAAAAAAAATCCAGATCATAGTGGAAGGAATAAGTGGTGGGTGTGCGGCTAGGAGAGAAACAAGCTCAGGGAAGGACGGCTGGCAGGAGTGGAAGAGAAAATGTTGCTGTTGGCAAAAGATTGCTTTATTGTTCTTGTGCGTTAGGCTTTAGTTCAGCCTTTTAACTCCAAAGACCCTAAGTGCAAACAAGCGCTGTAATCTCGAATGGACTTTATGTCTAGATTTAAAAACGACGGTTTAAAGCACATTGTTTCGGCTTTCATCAATTTCAAATCTAATCCACAATAAAAATGTTTCGTAACAAAGACCCACGAGCAGATGATGGCTTATCCAGCTCCCATTGTTGTAACTGCTGCAATACTCTGCTTCAAGGCAAAGTTATTTGCTCAAGTTACAGCCCTGCTCCATTCTGATCCACAGGATGGGTGAGTCATGTGTTCAAGGACTTGGGCGCTTCGCTGTTGTGGGAACATTTCCATTTTCTGATTTCCATGAAGCCACAGAACAAACTAAAATGGCCTCCCTGATTCAACATTGCAGAGGGAGATGGTTGCACTGCTAAAATACGCTTAGTAAGTTGGAAAAAATGACATCTGACTCACTCGAAGATGAGAGTCTTCCCTTGGGCATCTAATGTGTGTGTGTGTGTGTGTGTGTGTGTCTGTGTGGACAATGTGAATCAGGCTGAATGCCCCCAAACCCACCCAAAAGTTTAAAAGCGTTGTAATTCAACGCATCGATTGACTAAATTACTGCTGGTTGTCTTCTGCTTCGAAGGACATTTCAAAACAGCTGTTGCAAATATCAAACGGCCTCTGAAATGAAATTCATTGTTTATCCTCTTCCAGGTGCTCCATTTTACCTGTGGCTATGTGTGACAAACAAAGAGGCACCATACAGAAGTACACAGCAGGTGTGGGAACGGAAACCGGCACATTATCAAAACTTTTATTTGTTTGTTGGGTGTGTCTAATGAAGCCAAGTACATTTTGAGACCAGTAATAACTGACTGATAGCATTCATATGAATCTGGAAGCTTTACAAAAGAAAAAAAACTAAAAAAAAAACTTGTGGTTTAATTTTTGCATTCACGCTCTGAAACAGACTGTATGGAAAACGAATTGGGCATGATCTTACCCCCTTCAGAGGTAGAGCCTCTTCCTCTTATGAGGCCCCAGCTTGCAGAAGTAGGTTCTGAAACAATCCATTTCAGCATTTTAATAAGGGTGTGGTCAATGTTTGTTTTGTTTTTTTCATATTTGACTTTCAAATAATAAAAAAACCCTTCTAAAACAAGCTATTGAATTTACTTATCTACTTTTAAAGCTACTGTAAAGTGGAACCTTTTCTACAATGTCTCAGATGTCTTTGTTCAGGGCTATTAAACGCTTATCGACTAGAGCTGGTTTTAATTTACTCCTGCTTTTATTGTAACACCATGAACAAATGTCTTGTGCAAAAATAATTGTGTGCATCCGACTGAACTAGTACAAAACTGGGAAAACTTTGACATCATAAGAAACTCGGAAACTTGCCATCTTGGCTTGAGGGACCCTGTAAGACCTTAAGTTGTGTATGACTTGTAAAACCTAATAAAGAACCGGTTTAAAGTAGAAGAATCTGCACATACGTGACCTCATTACAAGCATTTTCTGTTGATGTCGTTCGAACGGGTTATAAATTTCAGCCTTTGTCTGCCCTCTAGAGGCGCTAAAGAAAATTACAGTTGTGACCGACAGGTTTCTTTTGTACTAAATTTAATTTTGTATGTTTGTCTGGAATTTTTTGCGTACAGAAGTTTAATAATGAACATTTCATAAAGTCCTGAGGCTTTATTGAGAAGCACTTCAAGTTTATGCAAACTGTCTAAATTAACATGGTCAAAAATGTATTTTTGTTCTGGATTAGGTTAAGCTCTGAGAAGGGTCCTGGGCATTAAAAGTGTATTTGTTTTCATTTTTATGCCACTTATCACAAGTTTCTGACCTGGTGCTCCATCGCAGTGGAAAAAAAAATAATAAATTCTCACCACTAAAACACTGGGTAACGTTGCATTTGGATAATGTTTTCTTCCCATTCTTTACATATGTTTGGGTTTGTTTGTTTTTTTTTTTTCCAAAATTGAGAGCAAACCCACTTTCTTAAAGCAACCCCACTCATGAATGGTCTCAGAATGCCCCACTATCACCATGACACAGGACTGATGCTAGAGTTCAAGGTCAAGGAGAAATATTCTCCAAATTCTCCACGCCTCGCCAACCTGACCTCAGTTACAGTCAAATGCGTTTTAACTTTTCTGAGTTGAACCTGGAAGAAGTTTGCTCTTGTGAAATGACCATCAATAAAAATGGCACACTAGTTTACCCTTTAATTAACTGGCTGAATATTTGTTTTAATTCAGAAAGTAATTGCTTTAATACTTGGTGTCTGGTCTGGTCTGGGCTAAACAGACTTTTTGCATCACTGGGACAGTGAATACATTTTATGTTCAAAGCGTTATGTCAGTGAAGAAAACGTTACCAGACACGGAGTTTCCAGTTTATATTATTGTGTTTCTATCCATAGTTTTCTGTCACTGACAGAGGCCGAGTTTTTCCCCTTTGTTCTTTTCTTTCCAAGGTATGTGTGTGTGTGTGTGTTTAACTGTGAAGCATATAAAGGATTATGTACAACTTCATTCCAGGGCTCTGCTTCTCTGATTTCCAGTCAGAGCCTTCAAATAAAGTATTTTATAAGACAAAGATTGATCTTTGATTTCTTAACAGTTTCTCTACCATTTGTTAAAGAATTTTTCCACGACAGTCAGGTTGAGCCCAAATGAACCTAACAGCAGTCATCTAGGAGTTAAGGAAAAAAAAAAGGTTTATCCTTTTAAGGAAAGATTGGTTAAAATAAAGGCCTCAAGTATGCTCTGTGGCCGAGCTGAAAACTGCAAGAATTTTCAGGTAATTACAAAATGCCAAATTTTAGTAGCGAAGCTGTAAACCACAGAATTCAAATTCTCCACATGACATTGAGGAAAATGCTTTATTTTTGCAAGTCAAAAACAACAGAAAAAACCAGTTTGGGGGCCATTGAGAATTCACTCGTCTTCAAACACTGTCATTTTGCAGCAAAGTAAGCACATGTGGCTGAAAGTCCATTATTTTTAAGTGTTGAGAGCAGGAGCACAAAGTGCTTTAGTTCCACTGCCTTCCGTGTCCTTTTACTTGAAGATCTTGCCCTGGTTGAAAGCTTTACCCACATGCTTGAAATCTCCTTCCCAGGCAAAGTACTCCTTAACCATGGTCTTGCACTCCTCACTTTCTGGATCCAACTTCCTCCAGTCGTATGATTCATAGTCAATTTGCCAGTCTGGACACAGCTGAGAGAGAAAGAAAAAGACAACGATAAAAGGGATGAACTCTTGGGTTGTACAAGATAAGCATGCAACTCCACCATCAGATTACATTTTCAATCTTTTCTGGGAAAAAAAAGAAGAAAGAAAAGCAAAACCAGTTTATATTCATGTATGAAACATTTTAAAAACGGGTTGAAAAAGATTTGCAGTCCAACACAACTGGTACACAGTATACACAAAAACAACGTTTGGCGAAAGGAAATACTCTTCTGAGGGGGCACAAGAGACGCAACGACCAGGCTTTTAGCCAAACAATTCAAATTTGGACAGATTCAATTATTTTGAGCAAGATGATATTATGTTATACATTATGAATAAAAGATCATGAACGCTAGTGCTGTTGAATCTTTGTGTAATGACCATTTGTATACATCCATAATAGCACTTTTTAAAAAGCTAAAATTTCACTCCTATTCTTTGTAGGACAAAGAAATTTGACTTTTGGAAAGAATTAATTTATTTTTAATTGGAAGATCCTGTACTGATAGAAAATGGCCTGCAGTCAAATAAGGTGTTCCACCATTGATGTCATTTCTATGACGATTGAACATGAAAAAGCCGTCTTATTGATTAGACGATGTGACCACAGCATGAACCAGCCTTTCACTCACTGATCAGAGTCGACTGGGATGAATATGATCTTTATTTTATCTTCCCCTGTCAGATTAAGACTTGATGCCATGACAGGGCACTGCCTTGCCCAATGACAGGGGTAGGGGAACCTTTAGCTCCCTTTAGTGAGGTTTCTGTTCTTTTCACATCTGAATTAATTCCTACAACTACTTATCTTTGTCCTGTTTGTTTCAGATAAATAGGCCAGACGACGACTATGCAAAAACTCAAAACAACCTCCGATGAACTGCACAATCCAATATTCCATCATGGGAATTTTCTTTAAAAACTTTCTTCAAAAAGCCGTTATACTAAATTTCAGGTTTTCTTTATCATGGTTGATCAATGCAAAACAATTAATCTGAAAGCTTGTTGAAAGCTGCAGTCTATAACTTGTTGCACGGCATGCTGAAGGCGGGGAATGGGCATTTTAAATTTAAAAAATAAAAGGGAAAAAAAAAAAAAAAAAAAAAAAAAAAACCTACATCACTTAGTTCTATGGTTTTTCGGCAACGTCTCAAAAAAATTATATTGTACTTCCAATTCAATAACAGTAGAAAAAAAAATCCAGTGGAACTTCACTGCAAAGCGTTGACAGTCTTAACTACAGACATTTTTCAGAGTCCAACTTTCTTCCATTTGATCAGCAAGTGCAGCTCTGCGAGTCAAACCATAACATGCAATGATATTCAATAATTGCTAAAACAATTAACGTGTTCTTCCAAATGAGATGGCAAGCATTCACAAGCAACCCTTTGAAATGAGCCACTCCTGCTGAGTCTCACCTGTGATAAGGTTGCAGCTCTTGAAGGTGAGCGTGAGCTCCTCGGGGTATTTGTACTGAGCATACCAGATTGAGTAGCCCTCTCTGTCAAAGTTCTCCCAGAAGTGAGGAAGCGCTACCGTCATGGTGTCCTCGTTGGAATACTTCCTCTTGAATTCATCCATGACGAATGCGCTGCAAGAAAGACGGACAGAAATTAGGCGAGTCAGTCAGAACTAGAGAACACACTTGGGTATGAATGTATCCAAGATCTGAGTCAAGATGACTTCTCTGGGACAGAGGAACAATCTGCCACTAAACATTTTAAATCTACTGAAGACATTTTTATAGACTGGCTTGTAGTGCATGTTGACCTAAACAGTTTTGGCTCAACAGCCTTAGTCGCTTCGGCCATCGCCATCTTTTCTAAATCCTCTTGTATTTTATTGCGCTATTCAAATAAACTTGTCAAACACAAAGGCTTTTGGTGGAAATGTATTCTATAACTAAACTTGACCCAGAGGTTTTTTTTTGTTTTGTTTTGCTTTTTTATGTTTGGTAGATATGGAATATGTTTGCTGGCTGTAACGAACACCACCACATAGCACTCTTATTGTCCATGTTTACAATCAAGCTGAAATTGAGATTAAAGATCATTGTGACCACAGCATGAACCAGCCTTTACCTCACTGATCAGAGTCGACTGGGATGAATATGGTCTTTACTTTATCTCCCCCTGTCAGATTAAGACTTCGTGCCATGACAGGACACTGTCTTGCCCAATGACAGGGGAGGAGCCATTTTTTTCCCCATCTGGATTAATTATTCTTACTTCCATCAACCACTACAACTTCCTTCCAAAGTCCTGACTTCACTTTATACGTTAATCACTGTGATTAAGCCTTCAGTTTGCCATCAGACCTTCCAACTGCGGTGAGCTGTAACAAAATCCCCATTTTACGCGTCAACTGAGGCATTTCTCTGGATATCTACCTCTTTGGCAGGTGTGCGAAGGGGTCCTTGGCTTTGGGCTCGGCAGCCAAAACAGCATCACAGTCGTCCATTTCTTCTTCTGGAGCAGGCTTCTTCTCCTCCTTTTTCTTTTCTTTCTTCTCCTGGGGTTTGGCTGCCTCTTTTCCAGCCTTTTCTTTTTTGGCTGGGGTTTCTTTCTTGGGCTGCATCTCAGCAAACTTCTTGGCTGGAAGAAGAGAAAAATAGCTCCCATGTCCCATTTAAAAAAAAACAAACAAAATAATTCTCTGGCTGACTGTAGACGAACCTTGAAATGTTTATAGAAATATTAATGCATTTCCCAGAGTGCTTGTGTTTGCAGATGTGTTTGATTTACATGGAGCACAAATCAAAATCTCCAGACAGCTAAACAAATGATGAATTTAACAAATGACATCTCATTGCTTTTTCTGAGGAAACTTCTCTTTGCTAACTCACCATCAAACTGAGCCATCTTTTCACACAGCTTGACTTCTCCGAGAACAGCCTTGAACTGAGGCTGGTTGACGCAGGTGACAAACCAGCGGGTCACGTTGGGATAAGGCTGGCGGAAGGACGGCTCCAACACCTGCAGAGCACACGCAGAATTAAATCGGCTCAATCAGGGTAGTAAGAAATGGAAACGACCCCAGTGTGTACTTGTGGAAATCCGTGTATATCAAACCTGCTTGAAGAGCCAAACCATGGAGCAGGCCACAGTAATGTCCGCCAGGCTCACTCTCTCTCCCACAAGGAACGTGCGGGTGGTCAGGTGCTGGTTCAGCACCGTGAGGACCTTCTTCACATCCTCCTTGGCCTGCTCTGTGGCCTAAACACACGCAGAAGACATTTACTCTGCATGACCACCAGGTTCTATCTCTGACCAGTTTAGTGTTGAGCTGCGTACCTGCTTGTTGAACTGCATGATTCCTAGAGTGGGGAAGACCCATGCACTGGCTGGAGGGATGATCTCTGAATCAGCAAAGCTCACCCACTGCAGCACCTGGGCAGCAGCCTGAGGAGTGGCGCCGCGCAGGGCATCATTGCTCACTGCAATGACACGGCAAAAACAATCATGTTCAAATTAAACAGGCTCGTGAATTATTTTTAAATATCACTTTGTCCATTTGTGGACTTTCATGTAGGGTTGGTGAAGTTTAAACACACACAACTTGATATAGTGGCAAAGTAAAGCTTGGTGTGGAATAATAAGAGACATCATGATCATAAAAAGTAAAAGTTTCGGTTAATAATATCTACAATGGTCCATTTAATGTCTTCCCAATATTGCGGAGCCACATTTGTCGTATTTCTTCCTTTGCTCTACTTTAGTTGAAAAGTGAATACTGTTTCAAATTGTATTAATAGAAATACTTAAGCGATTCCTTTTGCAATGTTTCAGTGCAACGTCGCATAACAATATTTGAATCCAAGTTTAAAGCTACTTACAGTAGTGAGCAATGGCATTACTCTCAAACAGACAGAAGCCGTCATCACCCTGGTAGGCGGGTACCTAAAGATAGAGACAGAATTTATATTTGAAAATTAAATGGTTTTGAACAACATGTTATACATCACAACTGCAGTCAAGATTAGTACAGCTGCCTTGCCTTTATGGAGACGGCATGTCCCATCCAATTTCAATGATTTAATCAGCAAAAGTATGGCCCATGCAGTTAATGAAATGTCAAGAAGACACTGCGTGTGACATGTTTAAACACCAGAGGTCACGCTGACATAAAAGATGAAAAGGCATCAGCCCAATTCTTTCTACTAAGCGGTTTTACTCACCTTGCCTAAAGGGAAGTTGCTGATGAAAGCAGGGGAACGGTTCGTCTGCCCAAAGGTGAAGGCAGGAGGGTTGCTGGCCACCTTGAGGCGAGCGCCGCTGTACTGGGCAGCAATCTGGGCCTTGAATGCCCTCCAGTTGTCTGGGTATGTGTACAGAGTCTAATAAAAAAAAAAGAGATGGGGGGATACAGGAACATTTATACACAGTATTTAAAAGAAACATTTACTTAAGTAATCCATTAACATTTATTTCTTCTAAGAAATAATTTAGCTTTATAGCATTTTCATTGAAAACAATATATTGTTGGGCTCTAGTATGCTTTAGCATTTAAAATTCACTGATTAGAAGCCTTAGCAAACAGGCTCAAAGTGTCAACCAAAAAACCAGGTGGTGAGCAGAAACCAAGCCATTGGTGCCTTCATTCAATGAATGAAGGAATCCACTCTGTGAGCTCGTCATTTATTTAAAGATGACAATGCAAAGACACCGCAGTTCAGACAGAAAACAGATTCTTATGGTGCTAAAATGAAAACCGGCAGCGAGTGTATTAAAAGCTATAGATCAACTACCCATGTTCAAGCGGCTCATAGCATAATTTAAACGTTATCTACCAATACATTCCCGCATAAAAGCTAATCTACCAGTTTACAAAACTCACAAGCCAAACATAGCACTGAGTACACAGAGTTTCTCTACTAGAATTAAAGAAATCACCTGGAAACCCAAAAACGCGATTCAAGTGATCTCGAGCAGTTAAGGTAACGTGGCATAACCCAGGGCCAGCACTTCCAATGCTTCGTTGGGGTAGCAAAAGCTAGCCACATTCAGAAAACTGTATTAAATTCTTCGGAAATAAAACACTTATCATCAAGCAAACAGCGGCGTAACGTTGTTATCTTAAAAACGTGCGCTGTAAACGCGACGATGGCTCTGATTTTGGTCTGATTGTGACAGTGAATTTTAAAGCAAGCTCCATTGCTAATAGCTCTCCATCTTACTCACCCCTGCCGCCATCTTCAGGACGAGAGAAAGAAAGAACGCCGGCGCGTTCCACCCACGTATTTACGGCCACGAGACGTGCGCGCCCCTGAAAATTCCGCGTTCACACGTCGAGCCACATGTCACAGCATTGAGAATTGCTATCTTTAAAGTTTGCCACGTATCTTAACATGCGATAACTACATCAAAATAGTTATTTTCAAAAGAGCTAACATAGTGAGATGCAGACAATTAAACAAAGATATAAGAATGAATAAAATACTTTATTACAGTCCACATACAAAAAAAACAAAAAAAAAAAACAATTTCTACATGAACTAATTGTTTCCTGTGGGCCACTCTAACATTAATCGGCAAGATGTGTTAATCTTAACAGCAGTATTTACTTGAGATCTTATATGAGTTATAATACACAGCAAATGTAGGATGCAAAGAACAACTGATTGGTGACAGCTGTTGAAGCACCTTATACATACAAGAGTAAAAATAAGTATATACAAAAGAAGATTGATGCAGAAAAATCCCCATGACACGCCACTCTGAAGCTGTAATCAGCTCACAAGACCTGAGAAGGAAGTAAAAATGTTACCTTACCGTCTAAATGCAAAGAAAAAACATTTCAAATGCACGTTTTTTAAAATAATGATTTGAAAACCAAATTAGCTTGAAAAATTCTGCATATGCAAAATAAGACATGTTTAATTCAAATGCAATCATTATGTGCACACTAATGAGCACATCAACAATTGGTCTGATCAAAACACTCACCCAGATAGTCATCCATGAGAGATCCAATTGCGAACTGAAAAACAAATGTATTTTTAAGCATCAGTTAGACTGAAGCAGGACCGCATGACATTTATTGTCTAATGACAATAATGGGTAATGACGTGGAGGCAGCTGAGCAGCTTGGCAAAATAAAACTTTCATTGGCTGTCCAGAATAACAACCAAATCACTTTGGTAAGAACATGAGCTATATGCAAATTTCTGAACAGAGGCTGATCTAATATTTCCCCTCATTCAACCTAAATAGGCCTTTAACAAACTTCTTGCGCAGAATATGAACCATATGGATGCACAATAAATTGACCTTGAGCTACAGCAGCCAAACAGAGATGTAAAAATTAAAAGCCAAAGAATACATGGATAAATTGTTTATACAAATGTTACTTTATCATGAAATAAAAAGGTAAAGTTCTCAAATCCAACCACAGTTTCATAAAAATAAAAAAAAACACTTACAATGTCATTCTTGTCAACCCTTGTGCCCACAATCTTCAGCCGGATCTCATCATCTTGCTGAATTACAATGTCCTTTGAAAGAAGAGATTATAGTGGCTGTGTCAAACAACAAAATAACACTGGATATTTGAAAAGAGAATTATCTTTTTTCCACTTAATTTTATTACTTTTTATGTAATTCCTATTAAAAAAAAAGAAGCAAGAAAATATATTTTTTTTAATAATGGCAGGGATTCAGAAAAAACAATAAAATTTAAAAATATCCCCACCTCATCAACAGTCTTATAGCAGGGGGGATTAGAATTGGGGTCAAACTCCATTTCCGAAGGAATGGACTGCAAAAGATGAATTTATGTTACATACATACCTGTTCCGAACAATACAAACTCTAAATTAGCATGTAAAGCAATAAATTAAGTAGACCAGGCTAAAACTGACTTACATGGCGAGAGATGAAGCAAGACATGGGACCAATTTCTGTGAATAGCCCAACCTGCAATAAACAAAAACACTTGTCATTTAAAGGGAGGCTAATAAGAGTAAACAACTAAAGTAGTGATGGAGAAGAAGCAATAACATCTGACATTGACTTAGAACCTCATCTTACAGATAAAAATAATTACCAACTTTATAAATATAACCAAGACTATTGTTTATGACCGGTTTTATTAGCAAATAGAACAAAAAGGGGATTTAAAGTTCTCACTGATATTTCGGTGGGAATCACTGTTTTGAGATACTTGGTACGGTTTAAGAGTTCAAACTGTCTCTACAAGCTACAATAAGAAACTTTTCAGTGGTTTCTGTGTGGTTGCAGTCAGACATTAACGGGCATTTCCTTCTAAAATAGCTTCAATCTGTTGCTTCATATATACACAGCATCTCAAGTTCAAATTTGTCCCAAAGATTTCAGTCAAAGGCATGTGGGTTCTTAGAATAAAGAATAAACTATACATGTCCTGCCAAGCATCACATGACATCATAGAGACAAACCTAACAAAAATATAATGATTATGAATCACAAAATGTTCCAAAAATAAATTGCTGCAGGTACAGAGTAATGAATTTTCCACTTGGAAAAAAGTCCAACATTAACAAATTAAATATGTTATGGCTTTATGGTGGTTAATTATCCAACTATTATTTTTGTGCCATCTGAATGAGGTTGATCTTTTGTTTTTCTGTTTTTTCTCCTCTAATTTTTGAATTATTGACTCGCATATATTATATTTTTGCCCAACTCCTACTGTATCATATTTATTTCATATTTTAACTAAAAACAATAAAATCAGGACATAAACCTACACTAAACCTCACCTTGTTAACCTGAGTAACCACAGCATCCACTACTTCTCCCTTGAACGGACGGAAGACAATGGCCTTGTACTTCACGGGATAGAGAACAAAGCCTCTGCTTGGCTGGATTACACCTGCCCCGATGTTGTCAATAGTGGTGACTGCAATGACAAAGCCATACCTGGAAAACACAACGAGAAAAAACAACAACACATGTACAGCTTGTAAATGCAATCAGGGCTATCACATCTTATCAATATTATCAACATTATTTCAGTCAGCAACATAATACATCAATCGTCTATATTTGCTAATGTGTCTGCACTATGTAGTCAGACAATGTGTATGCCATGTCTTACATTGAATAAATATTTTAGGAAAGATTTAGACCCACATTTGTTGAGTAATTTTGTGCCTGTGTGTGTTAATATGGAGACTTGCAGCTGATTTAAAAAAAACTTACATTAAACTTGTTTCAATGGAATTAACTGTGGATAACATTAATATCCAAATTAATATCATTTAACTAGACAAGCATATAAACAATACATACAGTGAACAAATGCAAGTCATTTGTACATTAGAAGGAAATGTTAAGTTTCCATTAGAGTAGTAGAAGAGTAGTTTTCTTGAGTTCTACTAATGACAATGATTGAATAATTTAATATTTATACTTGTTTATTTCTAAATACATAAATATAATAATGATCTTTAGTCACTTATCTTTCAGGAGATAGCACTTTTTTACACATAATTCATATCATAACGTGATTTGTTTACATTTGATTTTGAGATAAGCAATAAATGACCGTAAAAAGTTCAAAAATTGTTAGTGAATTAGAAACTGTATCGACAGATTAACCATAATAAAACTCATAAGGAAAAATACGCTACTACTTAGTAAAATACCTAAATTCAAAAACAAACAGACAACATAATTTTATTTTACATTAAAACGACCAACACAAAGCTACACATGAATGCAGGATAATAGCCAGAGATACTTTAATAAAATTAGGCGGTAAAATGTTACGGTCAGATCTGAATTCACTCACTTGCCAGTACATGTTCCCTCTACTTCAGTAAAAAGTTTCTGCTTCACGGTGTTCAGCAGGTTGGGCCCAAAATACCTCGGGTGTAGTAAGATTTCATGTTCCAAAGAAATCTGTAAACACCAATAAAAACGTGTGACGAGAAGGATGCAACCGTCATGAACACGTTCGTAAAACGATGCAAAACAAACCACTAATCAACCAGTCCAAAATACACCAGAATAATAACATAGACGTACTTACATGGTAAAACATGTCTATATTAATGTCTGCCTTTAATAATACTTTTAATTGGCCGAACCGCTTATCCTTAACAGTACTGAATGGAGTAGAAAATCGCTACAGTAAAGCCACTTCCGGGTCAATGACAAAAGAGTCATGAGCGCCGTAGTAATAATGTCAGTTCTGGCCATAGACTGCCACCTGGCGGTGAGAATGAATTAGTGCAAGAGCAAAACAGCAGGCGTGACTCAGTGCGATGCGTTGATTGGTTGGTATGACTTGACTCACAAGATCTGATATAGAAACGAAGCAAAAACAACGCATTTAGAAAAAAGGTACAGTTATTTTTCACCGCCATTGCGACAGATGTTCTGTATAACATTATCCTTAACCCACACTGAGACATAAGACATAAGTTTAAGCTGGACTTCCTTTTAACCAAAGTGATTTTCTACTTAAAAAGAAGTAATAACCCACCTAGTCATCTTTTCAGCTGACCGACATGGCGAGGAACATCTTCTCGAAGTTATTTCGTGTTCCTACGTCCACGCAGCTTGTAAGTAGTTGAATACATTTTTGACTCTTGAGTGGTTTTGCTGAGCTGCCTCTCTCCACGCAGGCCTGCCTCCGAACGGGAAGCTTGTTGCGGGAAAAGGCTGCTGCTGTTACGGTTCCAGGCAGCAGATGGTCCAGCAGTAACTCTCCTCCGGAAAATATCAGCCGCTATCCTATTCCCTACAAGAAGGACTTGCCTTATGATATAGTGGAGCTAATGGAAGAAGTGGAGTCGAAGGTAAATAAGTAAAAGTATTGTTAGGCGTTTAACTTCCATTTGACTTTTTAACCTTTTACATTATTTTTGCAGGGAGGCTTTTTACCCAATGTCTTCAAAGTACTCTCTCACAGGCCAGCAGAGTTCAGAGCTTTCTTCGCATACTACAATGAATTGATGAACAAGGAAACAGGTTGATGTTTGTTTTCTACATGAGGAGTGGTTATATTTAATTTGAATTCAACAAGTAACCCCCACTTTTGCCTGCTAGGATTTTTATGTCATGCATCTAAAAAAAAAATAAATAAATAAAAGTAGAGCATAAATATGAAGTAAAAGAAAAAATCTGTTAAGGGTGGCATCACTATGTGTTCAGGCCCTTTTAATCAGAGTGGCCGAACATATACTGATGTGTCCGGACAAAGTACACACCAGTATGTGTAAAATACACATCATTATGGGGCCAGACAAAGTATAGAGCACCCACATACTTTGTCAAGGTACTGTAGAAAAGATG